TCCCTTCGGTGTTTCCATAAAACCATTAATAATAAACCTGAAAAAATAAGATTTTCGTTTTTTCAGAACTGCATATTTTCTTTAAATAGCTCAATAATCTTTCACACTTGTTGCACTAAAACAACTGATAATTGTTTCAAGAGACTCTCAGTTTTAAACTGAGTCAAACTAAAATATAAAAACAGCTCAAAAAAAGCTCCTTTTGTTTGATTCAGAAGTCATAAATAAATGATTTGTATTATCTGTAAAGACCCCTTCAGAGACAATTTACTTTCAGGAAGGTAAGAAATGCATATCGGCTGCCAACCTGTGTGCAAAAGTTTTAAACAAAGACCTCTAAGTGCTCAGAGTTTGTGTTGATATGACCTAATATTGGTAAAATTGAAGAAGTTAGTTATTTTTGTGTTAGCTAAATTCGTTTAGTCATGGCAGCCATCTTGTATAATGTTAATTAGTCGTTCATTCAATGATTATTTGTTCAGGTTCTGGTTCATGAGGTATTTTGGTAAATAGATGGTCACCTGCATCAGCAGAAGAGATAATATACTACCTAAGTACTTAATATAGTACTTATATTACATTTTCTGCTCCTTTACTTCATACATGTGTTTCCTTTAAAACATGAGTTTTATATTCTTACAAACCTTCCAGAAACACAAAGGAGGAGTTTTTKATATACTTTGTAGACAACAAGAATTACAATTTTGTTTTGTTTTTCCACTTTAAAGGGCTTTTATTCATAGTCAGACTTGTGATTCTCCAAAGAAACACAGAAAACGGACATCTTTGGGATATCTTCTTACATTTCACCATGAATATGACGAAAGCAAAGTAGAAAGTTTGGTAATTCAAACCACAAAGCAGGCTCATCTGACCACTCTGTGATCTGAACCTAAGTGGGACACCAGGAGTGGACCATGTCCTCYCTGAGACACTGAAGGATCTGGACCAGCGGTCTGCAACGTCTACAACCATAAGAACCGTACACCTCCAGATCCTCAAAAAATACTTGATGCTTTAAATAAATATAGCATAACTTATTAAAGGCTTTAAATATACATATAGAAGCTACAACTTATATTACTTTATAAAATAAAAGCTCTGTAATAAAGTGACATTTTTAGCAGTTTTACATTTTWGGACGAGGAACAGGACCAAACTGAGAGATTGAGTTTGTAGTTTAGCTCCTGCCTGCCCAGGTGGGAGATGTGAGTTCAACTGGTGGTAAAAAATTTAAAAAAAAAATCCAACTCCTGTTTGTACATTTTCTATATATTGTGTAAAATAATAACAATAAGATAGAACTCGAAGCCAACTCTCGCTGATGTCCCCTTTCACTACTCAGTTTTGTTAATTATTTAAATAATCTCATAAAGTGAACAGATGGACGGATGGGGGGCTAAAGTGATTTTATCAAACTACTRCACAAACATGATGAGCAGGTCTCCCTGATGACGCACACAAAATATGGCTCAGATCGGATCATGTATGTGATTTAGAGCCAAACGTATATCAACCGTGTGATGTCTACTTAGGCCACGCCCACTCAAAAATCAGACTGCATTCCTGTAGTGGGGTGRATTARAATCGACCACAGCAAGTTGCCTGCTGATTGGCTGAAATATGTGGTACCGGTATTTAGAACCAAACGTATTGCTGCGTTCCAGTTGCATCGGAACTCGAAATTCTGAAGCCAGACTTTTGTCAGTTCCGAGCTGAAAGCGTTCCAGTTTCAAATGTTGGAAAAAGCATTTCTATTATTTTGCTCTGCAACAATAATACTTACAATAATAGTGCTCTTTGAGGCATCTTGAGTGTACAAACAGTGTTAAAACATATATTTTAATTTTCTCTATAAAGTACTACAAGTATGTCTGACTTAATGTAAAATAAACAACACAGAGCTGCTAAAAACGAAAAGCTAAATAGTTTCATGTACGCGGCAGCCATGTTGGAATGACGACGTAATGCATGCTCGGGCTGCTCGAGTATGGTGTGGTTGAACCGACCTCTGGACTCGAAACTACGACTTCAGGGGGTGTTCCAGTTGAAAAATAGAACTCAGAAGCTCAAAACTACGACCTGAGGACAACTGGAACGCAGCGTATGTCAACGGCGTGWTGTCTGACTTCGCTGCACCACCATGACTACACCTTTCWCYAAGAAGCGAGTGARATCAACTTATTATCTGTGTTCTGACATAATTTGTTGCTGATTAGGTCAAGAGGGTCAGAGATGGAGATTTCCAGGCCAAAAAGGTCACTTCCTGTTGTTAGCGTCTGGCACTTTGATGATGTCACATGACCACATGTTTTGGTTAGGCATGCAACATGGATGACTMATACTAAGTTTGGTGTATTTTAGGCTTTCTATGTGAAAGTTACAGCTGTCTGAAATTGTAACGGATGGATGAAGAGCATTTCTAAGTCCCCCGCCTCGGAGACGGGGGGGACAGTAATGAGCGTCCCACCCAGAAACAATGATATGCAAAATCATTTGTAAAGCAGCATTGTGCTAAAAATGACYGCCGAAGTTTGTCACATTTAGCTTCAAACAGGGTTTGAAAAAAATAGTGTGGATTTTCTAAAATCAACTTTTAGCACATTGAAATGTTTAAATATAAATGTTACATCTAAATGGTTTGCTGAAAATAAATATTGAGCTAATATGCAAATTTACACACTGATAGTACCAAAATAAAAGCTTGACTACGTCTTTTTGCAGGTGATGTGGTTCTGTCGGCATCTTTAAGTATCGACCTACAGCGTGTTGTAAAAACTCCCCATGACAGCATCTGTCATGTAAGTAGCAAACAAACATCCACACCTTCCCCTTGTTTCCTCCTTCATTTCTGCCTTTAGTGAAGCCTCAAGGGAGGCTTTTCAAGCCCACCCCCCC